GGGCCAACACTTTTTCACACCACTGTACATCTGACTGTTATTTCATGTCAGGCTTTACAGGGTTAAAATATGAACTTTGCATTTCAGCTGCCCATAGATCAGGGCGGTGGAGAAGGAAAAGCCATGTACATCGACACAGAGGGAACCTTCCGTCCAGAGAGGCTGCTGGCTGTAGCTGAGAAGTAAGAATCGCTTTAGAAACACTTGTTATCCGTTCTGTGCTTAACACCAGAAATGAACGGATGGTTTCATACGGTGTGGTTGTGTTTGCTGTGTCAGGTACGGGTTGGTGGGCAGCGACGTGCTGGATAACGTGGCGTACGCCAGAGCCTTCAACACAGACCATCAAACACAGCTGCTGTATCAGGCCTCCGCGATGATGACTGAGTCCAGGTAACACACACGTCCTCCCGGAACCTGACTCCAGACAGCTGTCTCCATTAGCTCCAAGTGTTGAAATATCCTCAATCTCTGTTCAGATACGCTCTGCTGATAGTAGACAGCGCTACTGCACTGTACAGGACAGATTACTCCGGGCGAGGAGAGCTGTCTGCCCGTCAGGGGCATCTGGGTCGGTTTTTACGCATGCTGCTCCGTCTCGCTGATGAGGTAAAGCACGAGAGATCACACACATGCTGTTTTATGATCTGATTGGTTCATAAGTTTACAAACTCCTTGCAGAATCTAGATTTTTGTTATTAAAACATATTGAATAATTTCAAATTAAATACTATTATTGAATTATTATGAAGCTGCATTATAGTTCACAAGACAAAATAAAAACCAAGTTTAGTAAAATGCAATAAAAAATTAACTTTTTTTTAGGCAGCTTGTCTTAAAATATAGTTGAAAGTTTATTGGCTGATCTCTTGTGAACTGTCCGATGGAATTTTAACTCCATTGGCAAATACATTTTTTTTTTTTTTTAAGGCAATTTTTTTGCTTTTAAAAATGCATTTTATATGTTGTCTTAAATTGAATATTTAATAACTTTTACTGAATGAAAAATAAATTTTTAGATGTCTATTTGACTATTTTTCTTACAGCTTTGCTTTTAAACATAATACACTTTTTAAATGTCTTTGTCAATTTTTCCCCCCAATTTATTTGTACATTTTTCCACATATTGCAGTTTCCCAACATTTCAGAATAAGGTTCTTGATTTTTAATTATTTGTCAGTTTCTTTGATTTTTAAGTATTTACATTTTTATTTTTTAATAAATTAATAAATGATTTCCACATATGAAGGATTCTTGGTCAGTGTTGTTTTAGTGTCACTGAGATACTATTATAGATGTTATTATTTATCAATATTGTGTATTAAGCTTTTATTTTTATATTTTTCACTTTCATTTTAATTTTCATGTTTTAATAATTTT